GAGGTGGGGAGATACCAGTGAGACATGCAGTGAAAGCTGAGGGACAGAGAAAGACAGACAGAGAGAGAGTAAAAGATTGAATGAAAGAAAATGGACCAACTGCCAAGAGATTAGAGAACCAACACTACAAAGAATGATCCTAACGCTTACACGTGACCTCTGTTCACACAAAGGATGGATGGTTGTAGGAGCAAACTGTCAGAAACACAGAGGCATCTGAAAGTGATTTAAAACTTCAAAATAAACATCCCTATTAATACCAAACCCAGCAGCCCCATATCCGAAAGATGGCCCGCCCCTCGAGAGAACGCTGCACCAAAATAAAAGCGCTTCCCCACAGAGCAGTAAATCAGATGACGGGGGAAAGTCTAAAAAGACTGATGTAACACTCAGTCACTGAGGACACATTCAAAGCCATGCATGTGTGAGGAACGACCGTCGGCTTTTGTGCCATGAGAGAGTGTAACTGGGAAGGAAGAGGAAGACCCTCACAGAAAGGCTTTGTTGTGCTAAAACACCGACTGACAACACCGAGACCCAAACATGACTTTAGCCCTCATGTGGAGAAGAAGAAAGTTTACCAGGGATCAGAAAGTGGAAGACGTTTGTCATAACCCTGTGGCTGAACATTAGGTGTATAAGAAAATACTCATAAAACACTAGGGCTGGGTATTTCCCACAATGCCACGATACATATCCTGACACAGAGGCCACGATACGAAACAGATCATGATATACATTCATTTTGGATAATGACCATGTCCTACATCAGTTGTTCTTTATTGTTGAGAATAACAGCAGAGGCGTATTAAGGGTCCTACAATTTAAACCACTTAAATTCAGAACCTCAGAGATCCTAGAAATACATTAAAATATTTTAATACCAGAGCTTTGGTTATGGTGTTATCGTGAACTGCAACATAGGTCGTTGTCTTTCAAAACTGTCATCACAGCTTTGCAGCCATATCGATTCAGTAATATCTGCAGCGATACATGTATTTACAAGGAGCACATGACGGTTATATTGATTTTTTGAGCACAGCCCTATAAAACACTGTATCGACACAGATTGTTATTGTTATGGGACATTTGACATTTTATCTTGATCAATGTCTGTGAGTTGCACAGCAATCATCCCAAATCTAAATTAATCTAAGTAACAATTTGATGTCAGCGTTTGATCCTTTTGAAGAAACTGTTTTCTATATCCAGTGTTACAGACATATTACAGTCATTTCTAAGCACATTAAGCTTTGATAGCCAGGCCTCCAACTAAAGGGAGACAAAGTGTAGTGGAAATTAAACATTAGACATTAAAAGTGATGGGATGGGATTTCCTGAGCTTCTTTCAGACATGAAGCTTCTCTGTCTTTAAACAAGCCCTCTGGTTCCCAGCCTCAGTCATGTTGGAGGAATCCAATTCCTACTTCATTAGCCAAAGAGATGTCAGATAGTCAATCAACACTGTTTTCTGAGCCGAGTTATAAAGGCAAAGGAACAGCATGCAGGAGAGGAAGAGACTGAAAGATGCAGCTAGTGAAGCAGCAATGTGATGCAACAGCATTAAACAGTTAAACAGTGTGTTTAGCAGCAGGGTCACAGACTGAAGGCCCACAGCTGACCTCCAGCTCTGACTCCACTCATTGTTTTTCTCCTCTGTTTCCTCAGGATGTGGGGCAGGGTCTGTTGCCTAAGCGATGAGGTCAGCCATGCAGCTTTCTCTTCCCCAGACCCAGAGCAGGATGGGTGTGGAGCTCGAGAACGAGACTGATTTACAGTCAGGAGCGTCCCTCTGGCCGAGCAGGCGAGCCCGCTGGTTAGGCCCGGTATGCACTAACCCTGCAGCACTCACGGGGTGATGATAGCTAGTCTGGTAACACTAACTCCGTGCTGCCGACACACGGGGACACAGAAACCACTAAAGACCTTCTAAGATCTTTTGGTATGCTGTGCAAACGCTGTAAACATTTAAGAGCATGCTGCTTCTACGACAGCCAACTCTTACCCCCGCCTGGTGAATAAGACCTTCATCTGCAAGGTGATCACCTGATATACTATTACAGTGAAAGGTCTGTTTAGCAGGCGCAGCTCTCCCAGTTGTTTCCCCCCACGTATACATGTGGGTCATAGAGGTCTGCATAATAGAGCTGAGTGACTCACTGTTTTGGGGGAATGTTTGCATTAAAGCCATTAAAAGTATCTGCGCTTTGCTTTTTTTTTTTTTTACAATAACTTAAGTTGTCATAACATGTAATGTCAGTAGTCTGTAAATTTGACCTCACAAAAATTGACAGCGTTCGGTTTTATTGATTATAAATAATATTTGTATAGCTTTATGTTCACTTAAGTCACAAATCTTCAACATAGTTCAGGTCTGTAAAGATCCTTTTCCCCCCAGTGTTAACCTGCAGACGAGGAGCAACTTAGACAGCCCAGTGAGATCAGTCCGTCTGAATCTCACACAATCCTGAGGAATTCACGGAGAGAAGAGCGTCTGACCCCACAGCCATGAAACACAGGACCACAACGGTCCAAAGGACAGTGTGCCACATGGCAGGTAAAAGTGCAACAACAGCAAGGCTCAGTCAGGCTGCCACCTGGACTGTTAAATACTGATCTGAGTAAATCTGTGGAAAACTCTGAGTCACAGGAAAAGACCTGAATGGTGCTCAGTCTACGCTGAGGGAATCCCCTTCCTCGAGCGTTCAGACGTGTAGGCAGATCAATATACACGGGACGACGGAAAGAGTGGAGTCTGATCGGGTTTCCAAACAGCTCCATGTTAACCCGTCAGTCATCAATGAACCATGAGCCTGTGGGGGGGTTTGGTTGATGGCGGTTTACTGAAAATACAGTATACCTCAGTTCTAAAGTTTAGTTTGTTTATTGTTTCGTGGACAAAGTACAAATATGTGGTTTCATATTTAGGGAGCATATTTGGAGAGGTCTGCCACATGATGTGTATAGAAAGTTTACATTAACACTCGAGCAGTTGGCAGCTGGTGATCTTCAGGGCTCTACCATCTCAGACGACCAGCCCGCAAAAGTCAAAGATGTCTACATTCATCTCTATCATATTCAGGAGGGCCTATATTTGATGAAAACCGACTGAAAGCAACAGCCTGCATGAAGCTGAGAGCGGTGGTAGGAGGTGAGTCATGACCCAGAGAGTATTTGGCCTTGGACCCCGACACGGAGTGATGTTCGACATTCCTCAGCAGCCTCGCCCCCTCCTTCAGCTCACTGTTCGCGATGCTTCACTTCGACCGCAGGCTCCCTCTCAACCAACAATCAGCCCTTTCAGTGGCCCATGGCTGCTCCAGCATCTAACATGCCCTAGAGGTATTCTCTCAGCAAGCCAAGACTCAAAATGCAGCCCATCATCTTTCCACTTAAACAATCCACAACAAGTCCATGTTACTGCTTCTGGACATCAGTGCAGAGCATCACTACAGATACATGACACAGGCTTTAGATGAGATTTATTCTGAATTAGCAAAGCAAATATAGTGAGGTGACCAGCTGGTTCAAACTATAACAACAAAATTAGAAGTTCAGAGGTTCAGTGCCAAAGGTCAGAGGCCAATGAAGTGAAGAGGTGACTGGGCAGTGAGGCACAAAAAATAGATGGAGCTGATGGACTGCACGGAGGAGCTTTACATTAACAGCACATGTTCATGATTGGAATCGATGCAAGTACTGATCTAAGGCAAATAATGGTGCTTAAATGATTACTTGAAAATTGGTTAAGAAATATTTATCAAACAATTAGTATTTCAGAAAAACTGACCAAAATAAACACATATCAGTTGCTACAAAGCATACCATTGCTGCTTATTCTAATCATGACATATTGCATACTAGTAGTGAGTTATATTCAAAATGCAAAAGAATCTGTGTGAGCATCAAAATCAGATAAAATTAACTCTAATCTGATTTTTAAAACCAGACAAAAGGTATTTTTCTATTTAAACACAGACTATTGTTTTCAGTCAGTCAGTGAATTTTTGTCATTTTAATTAGCTTGTTGATAAAAGTGAGGTAATGCTTTTTCACTACATGACTGAATTAATGACCCACTCAATAGTGCAGTGTGAGGGGTTTTAATCTGGTCTGTGCAGAGACAGAACGGGGTTTTTTTTTGACACAGATACAACAATGTGTGACACAAAACCTTTCCTGTAGCAGGAACAATCAACAGGATAACAACACAAGGTCATAGACAGGTCTGCCTACAACCAAGAAGTGCTGTCACAACCTCTGCCTTGGAAAGAGGAAATGTTGATTTTCTTCAGGGTGGGTTTCTTCCTTTAAATGTATTGCGAATGTCCAATCACAACTTAATGTCCTCTCCAATCTGAACCTCCTGTATCAAGGCTTTTCCACCAGGAAAGGATAGTACAATGTGGGTTTTATGCTCCGTAAATAAGTATTACTATCAGGGAAGTGTGCTCCATCAGGCTGGGGATACATGAAAAGGCAGGCAGTCCGGGTCTGAGCTCACATTGTGGCAGTCTAAATGAGGAGGCCTGTTGACTCCAACACTTCAAAGCTGGAATGAATAGCCTGGGGCCAAAAGTTGAAGAGGTAATGTAAAAGATCGGTGTCAAAATGTCAGCCAAATGTCTCCTCCCTCTGGCATACTAATTGGTTAAAAGTAATCAACCTAAACGAGAACACTATTGTATTGCAGAGTTAGAAACTTTACTGCAAAGAGCGAAAAGTTTAAAAGGAGGAGGTGAAGGCTAGCGATGTCCAGCAGCTAAGTTACTACGATGCTTTTTTTTAAATAAAGGGATAAAGTCTTAAATGTGCCCAATAGTAGCTCAGCAGTTCTGTACTTAAATATTTCTGACGGAAAACATCAAGCTTTGTCGGTGTAAGGTGAGCACACTGGTGTTTTAAACATAACATCTCGCCGTACATTAACTCCTCCACCCTGCTACCCGCTCCTCACTCCTCTATTTAAACAGAGCATTTTTAAAAGCTTTATTACTCACCTAAATCATCCATAGTGGCAGCCGGACTGTAGGCTGTGTCCGTTTAATGGTTAGTGAGGCTCTCAACCGGACACAAAGTCTTTATTTTTCCTCCTCAAACTTCACCACTGCTCTGTTTAGAAGTTGGTCAGGATAGCTCTCGTGGACGCGCATCAGAATGTGCATGTGTACTTTACGGGAGCGCGCACTGCCTGATACTCGCTGGTGGGCGACACCTAGCGGGCAGAAGATGGAATTACAATTTTGGGGAAAATGTATCATTACGTTTGAGGGTTTTTTTTGTAGCTTAAGTTTTTATTAACTTTTAACAGTTTTTAAAACAATGCAGCACATCTTATACCAAAAAAATAAAAAGGTACAGAGCACTTAGGCAGAGCATGCAAGTCATCTCCTAACATGAGATAACAAAAATAACAAAATAATGCCACAGACATAAGAGAGGTACAACCACCAACATGAATCCATTCTATGACCTTATTTTAACATGTTGCCAAAACAGATCCCATATCTCATCTTACCACCAACATTCATTTTTCCCAACATGTTTTCATATGAAGAGATCTTAACCATTTCGTCAGTCCATTCCTTCACAGTGGGTCGCCTGGGGTCCTTCCAATTTCGCAGTATAATTCTTGCAGCTGTGATAAATCCAACCTTTAAAATGCTAAATTTGGGATTTGTAACATTGTGCACCAATGACTTGTCACAAAGGAGGCAAAGCCTTGGGTGCACTGGGAGAGTGACACCAATCCAATCCCCCAGTATCTTCAAAATACTACACCAAAATGGATGCACCACAGCACATTCCCAGATCATATGTAAATATGTGTCCAAGTCGCTCTTACACTTCCAGCACTGATTGCTATCAGCAATTCCCATCCTATGTAATCTAGTTGGTGTCCAATGAAATCTGTGTAATATTTTATAATGAATAAGTTTCCCCCTGGCCTCTCTGATGTTTTTGCCACATTTGAAAGAATATCTAACCACTCATCATCTTTAATGGTAGTTGCAAAGTCCTTCTGCCATACCAGTTTGAGATTATTGCAGCAATCCCCTGAGGATTTCTTGTACATTTTATAAAACACTGAGGCTTTATGATTTACCTGAGGTGACTTGAAAAACTGAATCAAGTGATTAAGTAACAGCTCTGCATTCTTATATATGCAATCAAGACAGTGCCTCATCTGTAAATATCTCCAGAAGTTTCCTTTATTTGTAAGTTTGTATTTCTTTTGAAGGTCCTGATATGACATTAATACCCCCTTTTCATTTAAATCGCATTTATTTTTTAAATTTTAAATTGTGTTTATTCCCTTGGATTGCCACTCCTTCCAGTATACTGTTTTCTTTCCAATGCGTAATTTAGGTTGTTCCAGAGTGAAGAGTACAACTGATTGAATTGTGATAATTTAAAAGTTGTATGAACTGCACTCCACACACTCCTTGAATAGGACATTATGGGATTTGAATTATTTTCTACCTGTTGGGATAAAATGATAATGGGGCAGTATGGATTGACTACGCTCTGTTCTGTTTATCCAATCTAGGTCTATATCTGCTCTGACCCAGTGTTTCACCAACTTGATTATTTCAAAAGATAGGTTATATACTTTGACATTGGCAAACCAAAACCTCCATTGTCCCTGTCCATACACATCCTGGACATTTTAATTCTGGGTTTCTTCTTATCCCATAAAAAATCGTTAACAAGTTTGTTATAGTGTTTATGTATTCATTATGTTTGAGTTGAACAATACTTTGTTACAGATTATTTTACTAAATCAGTGATTGATGATTCAATACATTTCCATCATAAATATAAGTTGAACCATATATCTACAGTATAAACAGGTATATGTTGGCAATATCTATTCTTTCTGTATTATAAATACATTACATTATTTATTAAACCTTGTAGGGAAGCCAGTAATAAAAATGTCTAATCATGCTCTAGTATTTTTTGTGACTATATTTAATTTGTTCTTTTTAACGTGCCTACTTTAATCTTAAATCATTTGCAGGGCTCTGAGTCAAGTGAAATTCATATGATAGCATACTTTTTAAAAACCGGCAAATATTACAATGTGTTTATGGAATCAATATATTAATATGATCAAATGTATTTACACCCCCACCATGCAGTAAGTGGTTTCCACAGCATCCTGAACCTGAGTCAACAAAACAGGAGAAACAAGAATATGTAGGACAAGGCATTTATTAATTTATAGCTCATGAAACACTTTGGCATGATATGTCATCATATCCAACACAAATTGCTGCATTGAATTTAAGAGATAGCATAGAATAAATAAATAAAACATGCCATCATTGAGATCTTTCTGTGCAGGGGAAAGTTGGTGCAAGTCCTCGTCTCTGCATCTCACACACACACAGTGTACGTTTCTTTAAAGCGTGTGTGCTAATAGACAGGATTTAGACCTTTAAGTGGTGCTGATTTCTGCAATGTAATAACTCCTTAAAAAAAGCAAGAGAAAAACACAGAAGTTCCTTTAACAGACATTGAAAATTGTTTTCCATCACATGGCTGCATGTGACTAGTAATGAAGAAACCCCCAAAAAACAAATGGATACACCTACCATTCCTCTTTAAAATATCATCTTAAGCTCAACAGAAACATTTTTAAAGCAACTGTTAAGTATTTCCTGATCAGTAATCCGAGATAAACTTTTGTAAGTTGACTTTCACCGGTCCGAGGAGTTCAACCAAATTAGAACACTCCATACACACTTTTGATAATTATTGAATTTTTAAAAATAAGAACATTGACAAGTTAGAAGTCTCCTGTGAAGATACAACCCTTGATTTGATAAAATAACTTCACGACATATCATCAGGGTAATTGTACAAAAAAACAACAAAAGCAGAAGTGTACATGTCAAAAGTCGACTGCTTTGAGCTTTCTCTCCTCTTTCTCGGTGAGGGGCTGCTCTGAGAGGATTTTATCAAGCAGGCGGTGGTGTTTGCCTATCCCCAGCTTCGGCAGACCTCGGTTCAGCCCTTCCAGCAGCACGCAGGACTTGCACAGAGGCTGGCTGGAGATGTAGCCGCAGCGGTCACAGGTCCCCTGCACAGGCATCTTCAGGCCCTCCCGCACAGACAGGTTCTCCCCTGAGTGCATGACATCCATTATGGAGCTGGGCCTCACACTCTCTAGATCCTTTAAAAAAGTCCTTGCATAGCCTCGATAAGCATTGGGAGAGTAGATACATTCAGTGGAAAAGTAGTCCAACCTCTTGAAGTATGCGTACAGGACAATCTCTTTCTCATATGCATATTTGAGGGGCTTGCAGCGCGGAACAACTCCATCACCTTCACTGTCTGTGGAGATGGCGGTGCAGCGGCGTAGACGAGCTATGTCCCCTCGCAAGATGTTCATCAAAACTGTCTCTGCCACATCGTCAGCATTATGACCTACACAGAAAAAACACAATAATTCAAACTGTAACAAAATCAAACAAACAAAAAACCCTTGACATGAAGACGACAACTGCCCAGACTAATGTTTAGCTGTTTATTCTTTAAGTTTAAGTCGTTACCTGTACATATTTTGTCCACTTTCAGCATGATGGCTCCTCTGTCGAGTGCCTGCCTCCTGAACACTCCACAGAAGGTGCAGTTGTTTTTAAGTCCCACCTGCTTCACTATAGCATCCATAGTCCAGCCATACAGCTCCTCATACGACACAATCTTCAGCGGAAGCTCGTACTGTTCTTGGTTCCTCTTTACCGTCTCCAGGGAGTCATCTCGATAACCAGTGATCCCCTCGTCCACCGAGAGAAGCATGAGTTCAAGGCCATAGTTATATCGCTCATTTAGGAGCTTCATTACATGTGCCAGCACTGTGGAGTCCTTTCCACCCGAGGCAGCGATTCCTACTCTCTCCCCGTGTTTAAAAAGCTTTGCTGCCAGGATCGTCTGATGCACCTCCTCCTCAAAGGCCCAGAAGAAGCACTCCTTACACAAAGAGTGCCCGGTTTTTGGCCGTTTCATCACAGCCCGCTTTTCAGCACAGCTGCTACACAGGACAGGCATCTTGACTGTTGGGAGACAACATTAAAAAAATCAATAAAATATATTAAAATCAATTTATCAGATGAATCAACTTCAACCACAGACTTAATAGCTCATTGTTTTTTTCTGCAGATGCTTTTGAATAGCTAACCCACAGGTTTCGATGCACTTGCCCTTTTTTCTTTCCTCATTATTCACTTCATGTTTTTAGTAGTTCACTTTCATTTTTCTAACAAGGCTTCTGAATAACCAAATCTCTTTATAGTCAATCAGTTAGTCCACAGTCTGGACAAGCCTGCTCAACAAAAATGTATTTATTCCAGAGACACCTCACAAAAAATAAAATAAAATCTCAATGACACAAAGTGTATAGAAACTATACACTATATATACACACTACACTATACACACTATAAACTATAGAGTGATACTAACTATGTTATGATTACTCAGAGGGTTTGAAATGACAAATTTACTCATAAAGAGTGGAAATGTGCACACTAAATGAACTTACTTTTAAATGAATAAGACAACAGACTCTTGGGAGCTGTTAACAACTAGACCTTTAGTCCAACAACACCTCATATTTACAACAACACCTCATATTTACAACAACACCTCATATTTACAACAACACATTACATTAGGAAATGTGTGTGGAGAGCTACATTCATAAAAGTTAACTATGTTTTAAATTATGCTGAATTAAAAAAAATAAACGACACAACTCCTAAAAACATCTGAAGTCATCGTTTTACATGGTGACACTTTCAGTAAGACGCAAGGCTGATTTCATTTAGTTCAAGAAGATTTGAGGTTTTCTCGTTTAAGAAAAAAAAAGATAACCATACTTAGTTCATACAGACAAGACAAGCCCTTGTACTGACTTAAAATAAAACATTCGCCTTAGTAAATGACACACAAATGTCTGGAAGTGAAATGCAAATAGCTATGAGGTATGACAACATGTTAAAAGTCCTGTGATAGTTTAACATCACCAACATGTTTCAGGTGTGACCTCAGCTGGTCTGAACAGTCACATATTTCAAAAACATTTTCATACCAATGTATCCGATGACTCGATGTAAGGCAAGGAAAAATGTGT